TTGTTGAAAATTTTGGTTTGCCATAGCCTAACACATTAAAGTTCTTGGAGTTTAAATCATTTGTAGAGATGTTTCCTGTTTCGCAAATTGCCATAATGAAGCTTCGAGCTTTGTTGTTTAAATAGCTCTGTGGGTTCTTCATAAAATAATATGGATTGGTCTTGTAATGTAAAAAAGACAAGATTAACACAGAATTAATATACTCATAAAACTATACTTTATTCCAAGTAAAAGACTAAACATGTACAATTACACTCTTCAGTATAAAATAAAACTGTTCAAAGATAAAGAAAGAATGAAAATGAGATTAATAAGATGAAAAGAAATGATGTTTGATGTTCCCCCCGATCTAACTCTCTACTGAATGAAGCCCAAAATTTCTCTTAAATACCCCCAAGTTATAGGAAATGAAAGGCAATCCCTTACCCTACAAAACCTATAAGAAACCCATTGAAAGATGGCAGCACAATACGGTGAATCAACATGAAAAATGCTATACAACCCCCACCCAAATAAAATGACAATTCTCCTGACATTGTACGTACTAAAAAACTGAAAATTCGAAAATCTAAATAAATGTATATGATATTTTAACAATGTCCTATATGAATGTTTACTAACACAGTGCCGCATACTTAGTTCGTGTACAATCCATATCCATATCCAATATCCATATGAAATATCCACGCAGAGTTCGTGCAAATATCCTTGCTTCATACGTAGTTCCTGTTGACAAACGTCGTTATAATAAACCATAATAAGTTCCGATTTTATAATCCGCGTATCTAGTCCTGGATCCAATGCGATGCTGTAATACATGCATCTAGTCCACGATGTAATATCGATGTAATAATCCAAAATATGCACCGTCTTAGTAGTCGAAATAATATCCATAATCCGTATATCACATGCACGTCCGCATCGTGTCCATTATCGAATATGTCTGTATCCTCGCTGAAGAATATATAATAAAATATCCATTTCCTTGTAGCAGTGTTCATAATAAACGTTTTTGTTGGAGAAAAGAATTGTTCATGATAACAGGATATCGTACATCTTCAGCTCCTTCATCAGTTGTCGAAATCCTCTGTGGCTCCACTCCATCCGAAATCCGCGTCGTCTGCATCTCCATAAGACATAGGCATCGCCTTCACAGGTCATCTTCATCGCTTCTTCACGGTTAGGTAGTCGTCATCTACTTCAGGTCGTCATAGGAAATCGCTTACTGGGATTCCGGGCAATTAATTTTTTAATTCTCAAAAAGTTCTCCAAAAGTGTCTTTAAGAAACATTTTTTTATTAACATGTCTTTAACTTGCTTTTCTATGTGACATAAACAAGTCTTCTTCGTGTTCTAAACTCTTCATGAATTTAATTTTCTTCAAGATATCAATTTCTCTTCATTTACAAGTAACTAGTCTTTCTATCTCTTCAACATACAAACTTTTCACTTGACTTGTCTTTCATGACTGAGCGTTTTTCAACTCTTCAACTCTTCTAGCAACTCTTCAACTTCAACTCTTCATGAAATTATTTACATTTTCTCTCTATTCTTCAAAATGATCTCTGATTGTTACTTGTGAAACTTGTCTTTATCTTTAAAATGCACTGAGTGGTTAGTCTTTTAAAATAAAAGATGCAAATTGCTTACGAACAATACGAAATAATATAAATATGGCTTAACATGTTTTCCATAATAGGCAGGACAAATTCCAAAAAGTAATAACACAATTATACATATCTAGCGATTTAACATTAACATCAATAATGCAACATGGGTTTCAGACTCTGCCAAGATTACTAAAACCTTTTCATCAGGTCGCCCCCTCTTGCTAGGACTTTGTTTCCGAAAGTAAATCGGTAACACCTCAGTGCACAATAGCATTTTACTTTGGATTTTCCAAAGAATTCTATATTTTCATACTTAGCGCTATGTATTGCACAAATACAAACAAATTGCTATATTCAAATATAAATGACTAATCTCTCATGCATTCATTTCACTAAACCTGATGATTGATGGCTGTCATAACAAAATCTCGTTGTAGGATCCACAGTTTGTACTTTCTTACAAAACTGAGAAAACCACTTGCCTGGGCTTCAATTCAATTCTCTATTGAACCCTAAATTTGACAATTTATGATCGTCATCATAACATTATCCAGTTGCCGCTCGGGAAATAACCATAATATTTCGAGCATGTACATGGCAAAATCTCATATAACAATTAGTGCAGAATAAAACAATAAAAAACAAAATCAGAAACTTAAAGACAAGATATCCCAAAGATAACATTATCCCGTCCAGCAGGAATATGTTTCTTGATAGACTAAAATCATCATAATCTTATGATGCAATTTCCACAATACACAAACAGAAAAACATGCGATATACTTTTATGCTTTTCGCATCCTGAAAAGATACAACTTGCTCACTGTAAGTAATATTTAAAATTATTAGCCATTTGATTCCTCTTAAAGTCATAGCAAAATTATTCTCCAACCCTGGTTCATGAGGCCGAGTCTTAAAACAAAACTGCACTAATTCTACATAATACCGAGTAATTCCAACTAATGTTACTGTCAGTGCACGTGGGCTAACTGATACCTATGATTCAACTTAGATGCGATATCCAAGGATAAATACCAGTTATTCTACCCCACTGCTTTACATGTGGATCATTTGTTACCTATGATTCAACTTAGATGCGATATCCAAGAATAAGTAACAACCACACAACCTCGATTTAAAACAACATTGAACTCTTCTTCTAGCTAACTTATCAACTTAGATGCAATATCCAAGAACACATGACAAGAAGCCTAGTTCAAATCTCATAACTTAACAACAATGAATTCTCTTCGTCTAGCTAACTTATCAACTTAGATGCAATATCCAAGAACACATGACAAAAAGCCGACTTTACATCTCATCATTTAAGTACCATATTAAAATGCCAGGCCTTACTACACGAATGGAATATGAAATTCCATCATAATTTTCTATAACAAACCACCAGTCTCAAACTACCCCCTCCATTTTCATGGAATTTCATATCTCTTAATAAAACCAGATAAAAAGATCCCTATGTGTATTTTCGACAAGCACACGTTTAATTACTGTAAAACATAAATTGCCTTCAGAAATCTCATTTTACAAGTTACTGTACTCTTCAGTCTTTTTGTTATTTGCTTACTTCTAATTTTTTAATTCTAATTGTTTACTCTTTATTGTTACTTCTAATTGCTTATTTCTAATTGTTTACTTCTTATTGTTACTTCTAATTGCCCGGGCAACCACATATTACAAAAATGACAAATCTCATTCATCCATTCAGCGACACAAAACAAACATGCATTCTTGCCAAATACGGATGTTTGACTCTTTCTATGCATAATTAATAAAGAAAAATGTTCTTCAATACTACAAAATGGTCCTGTTTTCATACTTGAAAGGCTTAACCTCCCCTGAACAATTCTTTTGCAATTCATGTTTTCATCCACTAGCCATTAAAATATACCTATGCAATTCCATTAAGAGTTTGAAATAAAAGATCTTTTAAGGTATGCATTGATGACTTTTACTTAACTCTGTATTATGTACTTTTTCCCTTTTAAATAATCACGAGATAAACAATGCCCATGCAGCACACATTTAACTAACTTACTACTAACCGACTATCTACCTAACTACCTAACTAACCAACTAGCTAACTAAATATGTTCCCTTTATATTTACTTATACCAGAGACATATAAAATGTTTTATAGGTCTCTGCTTATTCACACTATATACATTCTTTGACTAAACAATCAATTAATCCCATCCATATCTTGTAGGCGCTCTTCTATTTCTTGCATTTCAATATTGAAGCAAGACTACGCCTTAATAAACCATCCGACGATTTCTTTTCTTCATTTTGATTTTCAGGTGAAACCGTGATTTTGCCATCTGTGTCTTTCTCGTCATGGAGACTTACATTTTTATCTGACCAAATCAAATCAAAGTTTTCATTATTTTCGTCTTTCTCATCTTCATTTTCCCCGACGGCACCTAACACGACAGAACACCCATTTTCACATTGATCCTTCCCCTCCATATTCATAAGGTATCAACTTCTATTTAATGAATGAGCTATAATCTATACGTAATATCAAAACACAAACAGAATCAAGTACGCTTTTATCATCAATACAGGGATTTTTACAAAATACAAAGACCAAAAACTAGATCTCGAACATTCAAATCAAATATTCTCAATTCATAATTTCGTCTAACACCAATTCGGGACAATCCTAACACTATAGCCACAGCCAAACAAATAGATACGCGCTCGATTTTGCCAATTTTAAAGCAATGCGTCTTAGCATGCACAATTGTAGAAATAAAGGATAGAAAGAAAGTAAAAGAAAGTGTTTTTGAAGTAACTAAAACAGGAGCCTGTTACATGAGCTTCTTGTTGATAGCAAATACAGAAATTAGTACAACGCTGAAATGCAAGCGTTTTCGTATTTCAATTTTAAAAGTAACTACAACGGGAGCCCATCTTCATTACTAAATGATGATTCCCTTAACAATAGCACGTGTAAACATAAAATATTCTCGACTCTTTGTCTTCTCTTTATTCACAAGATCAAGGTAAAGTTACGCATAAATTAACTGAGCGTACACAAACGCAAGATCATTATGAGTCTTTTAAGTGAAGACCGTCAACTTAAATGCATGCATAAACAAACATTGTGCATAAAGACAAAGTTAATACTAAATAGTACAGTGAAGACAAATACTCTTCTTTCAAAGTAAACTGATATGAAGACAAAATCCTAAAGAAAGAGTTGAAGAGAACTAATCTTCACTCTTCAGTATAGAATGAACCTAACTTAAAAGAGAGAAACGAAGAGAACTAATCTCCGCTCTTTTGTAAGAGTAAAGCTAACTTGAAGATGCGAAGAGAACTAATCTCCACTCTTCAGTAAAAGTTAATCAAATTTAAAGATGTGAAGAGAACTAATCTCCACTCTTTAATGAAAATAAAGACACTAAAACTGCGAAAAGAATCTCTTTACAAGACAAAGACCAATCCCACCGCTGCCACCAATGAAGCTTCGAGCTTTGTTGTTTAAATAGCTCTGTGGGTTCTTCATAAAATAATATGGATTGGTCTTGTAATGTAAAAAAGACAAGATTAACACAGAATTAATATACTCATAAAACTATACTTTATTCCAAGTAAAAGACTAAACATGTACAATTACACTCTTCAGTATAAAATAAAACTGTTCAAAGATAAAGAAAGAATGAAAATGAGATTAATAAGATGAAAAGAAATGATGTTTGATGTTCCCCCCGATCTAACTCTCTACTGAATGAAGCCCAAAATTTCTCTTAAATACCCCCAAGTTATAGGAAATGAAAGGCAATCCCTTACCCTACAAAACCTATAAGAAACCCATTGAAAGATGGCAGCACAATACGGTGAATCAACATGAAAAATGCTATAATAATATGAAACTGTTCATTTTTAGCATACTGTTTAAGGAATTCTAATCTACCCATTGAATCAGCTTTGATACTATTTATGTTACAAAAAAGTATTTTTAGATCATCAACCGGTCCAGGATTGATTTCCACATCTCCACATAACATTAACAGAATTCTACTTATGTGACTTGGGTTATGTATGAGCAGTACCGAACCTGGGAGGCAACCTATTGACAGTACCAGTAGAAACAATTTAATAACGACTAGTGAAAAATTAGAATGCTGATGCATGACATATGATAGTACATAAAAACATGTCATTGATACCAGACAAAAATAAAATACTTGTTGGGCAAATATTATAATAAAAGACAAGAATGTAAAAACCAGTGTTCCATGTTTGGCAATGTTAAACAATAACCCTCCACCAATTAGTAAGAGGGTTAAGAGAGTACAAATTCTGAAATATAAGCCTGGTATATCACTGGAAGAGTCTGGTGCATTGATCATTTTCAGTTTATGGTAATTAAACAACCCTACTGCTATTCTCCATATTTCAATACAAATTGGCATTAGCCAATTCCAACCCTAGCAGGATTGTAACCTACATATATCATTAGAACACATGTTAACTTACAATACAATAAAATTCGCCCCCACGGAAAGCCTGTAACACAAAAAAGCTCAAGTTCACAAGTCATGGTATAGGCCATGAACATGGCAGTCATTGTAAATATGATCATGTTTGAGATCATACTTTCAATGTGACTGTCTGTGAATAAGGGCTCTCTGGAAAGTGTTATAAAATCATATCTCATGTGCCATTATAAGTTTTTTTATTCAATGTCCAAAACCCTAAATGGGTTTGACATTGTCTAGTCTTTACCCAATCATTATTTAACCATACTGTTTTAAAGATGTATATGTCAGCCTATAATTTTATTGCACAAATACTTCAGAAAAAGAACTCAAATTTTTGTTTTGAAATAATTCCTCAGTGATAGCATAATAACATTGCATTTAGGACTGTGTATGTGATTATACTACACTAAGATTGGATACCCTGAGATTAGATTATTATTAGGTGTAACACAACTCTGGATGAGAGTTGGGATAGCTTCATTCTTAGCAGAACACCCTAAATTAAAAGACATATTGGACTATTGCCTAAGGGTCATTAGTTATTAGTAAATACAAACATTGTTCACTTTACATGACCTTTTACAAGTTTCCACAGTTAGAGTGTGAGGTCATTTAGAAAATTGATAGCAGGGTATTGTGATTTAGAGTACTGCAAAACAAAACTTGTAAATTACTGACCACACTCAATGCAATTCAACTATGAATGTTTTCCAATTCCCCAATATATACAGATTTAGCATATACGCATAATTATCCATGTTAGAGTACGCTATGCTATGCATAAAAATACAAGTCGAGATTGACATACGTGTAGCATTATGCACAAATCGAAGAAAATATAGGCTAGATTCATGTTGTTATTGGAATGCTCATCATGCCACAACAGTGCATGATACATACATGTAGTTAGTTTTTTACCTTGATAATGCTCCCGAAGTTATTCAGTTCAAGTGATAATTATCATAATGAAATACAGCTGACATGCCTTTACACTGTACTATAAACATAACTGTACTGCCATAGCCGGGATTAATCATCCTACACATGCGCAATAAACAATAACAAGTGTACTTGTGTTTACATGGTACATCTTAGATTACATTTATTTTGCACCGTAATACTAAGTTATGATCAGTGATTTTGGACATTTCTAATAACAAAAGAAGTTATGTTTTCATTCAAGCATGTAGTTAATAAACCATAGCAATTAAATGTTTCATAAAACTGGAAAAATGGGTCGTTTATTCGTTTGATTTTGGGAGATGAATTGCCCAGTTTAACCATAAATTTACTGAGATACTGTACAGTCTATTCCTTGCAATGTCTTTAGTTTGATGCACGAGTGACTGATTTACGATGTCTTAATAATGTAGAGACAGTATTTTACAGTTTAGCTAATAACATGTGTGAAGATGATTATACTTATCAGTTGACATTCAACAGTCAATGTTTATGGAGACGGGGTTCAAATGTCTCTAGGATGTTTCAGCAGAACTCGTTGTAGCCGTAACCCGAGGTCCTTGTCTGGTAGTACGCGCTGGTTCTCTGAGTCTCATATTTATGCTTTGTTCAATGTCATCTGTAACCTCGAAGGATATGATATCACCTCGTCGCAGTCTCCCAAGGATTTTTCCGTTTGAGCTCCAACCTTGCACAATCTCAGAATGCTGCTTAATTTGGTATAGCAGCTGGCGGTTCCCGGGGCTAAGATCCTCGTAAATGATGATAGATGATCCCTTCAATTCCCTTCTCCGTTTCATCGAGTCGTCTTTGGATCCTCTGTATTTGAATTTAACAATTATAGGACGTGGATATCTGCTTGATGCGTTAAAGACTCCAAGTCGATGAGATACCTCAATCTTTTCAGGGTCAAATACCCCGGGGATTTTGTTCTGAATAATATCGTTATTCGAGATCGACACACTACAATCCTCAGTCGCTGGGTTATTCGATTCAGGAATGCCCAGTATACGTACAGTGTTTTTTCTGCTATATTGGGCGTTGTGGTTACAACTGATTTCTAGTTTCTCAATTCTTTGTTCAAGAGAGTTCACCTTGATTTTGAGGGATGAGTTTTCTTTTTCTAAGGAGTCTAGCCTGATGTTAGTCGCTTCAATCGCTTTTGTGACAGCTTTACCTACGATTTTACTCACAGTTTTATTAATGGTCTTCTCATGGGATTTAATGGTATCACTGAACATTTTCATTATCCATTCTTTCGTTACTCCCGAATCTTCTGTTTCTTCATGTAACACATCTTCATATTCATCTTCGGTTAAGTTTTCATCATCATCATCGCTATAATTATGAATACTGAAAGTACTGTCACTATTACCAGCTTGCCTGCGTTTTCTAGGATTGGCAATTTCCGTCCCGGAAGTCTCTTTGGTTGTTCCTCCATTTTTATCCTTGGTGACAAAGAAGCTCGCAATGTTGGCCGTGTTCTGCTTCACGGTGCTCATTTTGACAGATTTATATATCCAATATTGTGGTTGAGTGTATTATATACTAAAATCCGTCATCTAATGTGAAAAACTGGCACTTATATAGCTCTAATCATACAATTTCCAGGAGCTCGAATAATTCAAACCTCCATTATGCACGCCATCTATATGATTTATGAAATGCAACTGTATCTCCTAATTACAGTTACCAATCATATACCTCTCCAATGGTTCTAGCAACATGTTTATATAGAATGATTTATAACTTCCACATTTGTTGTAACAATCTCATTGCATAGTAATAAAGTAATTAAAGTAGGCATACATATCTTTATATGGATCACTTAAAATGTTATTTCAAAATGTATGTATGTGGTCACAATAAGGTTTATGAAATGCAACTGTATCTTTTCTAATTACAGTAACCAATCATATACTAGTACCTCTCCAATGGTTCTAGCAACATGTTTATATAAAATGATTTATAACTTCCACATTTGTTGTAACAATCTCATTACATAGTAATAAAGTAATTAAGTAGGCATACTGGATATCTTTATATGGATCACCTAAAATGTTATTTCAAAATGTATGTACGAAGTCACAATAAGGTTTATGAAATGCAACTGTATCTTTCCTAATTACAGTAACCAATCATATACCTCTCCAATGGTTCTAGCAACCTGTTTATATAAAATGAATTATAACTTCCACATTTGTTGTAACAACCTCATTACATAGTAATAAAGTAATTAAGTAGGCATACGTTTCTTTGTATGGATCACCTAAAATGTTATTTCAAAATGTATGTACGAAGTCACAATAAGGTTTATGAAATGCAACTGTATCTTTCCTAATTACAGTAACCAATCATATACTATAGTACCTCTCCAATGGTTCTAGCAACCTGTTTATATAAAATGAATTATAACTTCCACATTTGTTGTAACAATCTCATTGCATAGTAATAAAGTAATTAAAGTAGGCATACATATCTTTATATGGATCACTTAAAATGTTATTTCAAAATGTATGTACGAAGTCACTATAAGGTTTATGAAATGCAACTGTATCTTTCTAATTACAGTAACCAATCATATACTAGTACCTCTCCAATGAATCTAGCAACATGTTTATATAAAATGATTTATAACTTCCACATTTGTTGTAACAATCTCATTGCATAGTAATTAAGTAATTAAAGTAGGTATACATATCTTTATATGGATCACTTAAAATGTTATTTCAAATGTATGTACGAAGTCACAATAAGGTTTATGAAATGCAACTGTATCTTTTCTAATTACTGTAACCAATCACATACCTCTCCAATGGTTCTAGCAACCTGTTTATATAAAATGAATTATAACTTCCACATTTGTTGTAACAATCTCATTACATAGTAATTAAAGTAGGCATACATATTTTTATATGGATCATTTAAACTGTTATTTCAAAAGTTATGTTAGAAGTCACAATACAACTGTATCTTTCCTAATTACAGTAACCAATCACATATAGGTAGCGATCTGAGGCACTTCGATCAGGGTGTTGTCGGGACAATTTCTCTTGTGACTTAGGTTATGTATTTAGGTCTATATCAACAGATTTTACTGGTCTTATGCGCCGCAAATGGTGCGAAAGATGTTAAAATTGCATTTTCGACCCTAAAATTCAGATTTCTTAGGGGTGCATTATTATTTAGCTATAAAACAAAAACTAAACAACCAATGCTTCTTTCTTTTGCTGTTTCTGTTAAGAGTAATTATATTTAAAATGCACATGTAAAAAAATTGAAGAATTTTAACTTAATTTAAAAACAACAACATTTTTTCACCCTAAAATCATCGAATTTAGGGGGGTCGAGAGACACTGATCGGAATTGATATTTTAATTTCTCAATCAATCTTTGTTTAATATTAATGAAACTTTCCTAAAAATAGCACCAACATGTCCCCAGCATATTACCCATAAAGAAAAAAAACTCAAACTCTGATGTTTTTATCTATTAGAGTCAATTTACCTCTCCCCTCTTTCCCTTATAAAAGGGGTGTGGCCATTAATACATGTGGATTTAAACAGTAGCATGATGTCACATTAAATGAATATATGTACATATCATGTATTTTATCAAATATATTACCATAAAATATTTTCACTTAGGTGTATACATATAGTACATACCTGTGAATTATTTATAATACAATATTTATTCTATGTAGGCTCGAGATATGAGAATATTAAAAATCTGAAGTTGAATATTATCTAATACACAGTTCACAACTCAGTCATAATATTAATTTTACTCATTGTATGAATTTCTGTCATCACAAATGTAGTTTTTATTCACCAGAATATATTTGATCCACAAAGCTTTGTATTTCATAAACTTCCTCTTCATTTTGATCTTCTAAAGTATCATCTATTACAATAACATCTACCAGGTCCTGGGGTAGAATTTTATCTGGATTTGACACCCATTGAAATCCAAATGGCCATCTTTCATCTTTCATCCTCCATCCATGTGACACAGGGGAGGGAATTGATGGGAAGGGAATGTGGGCAAGTTTCCATATGTGTGCTTGATAACTGGCCCTTGCCAGATGCTGCTGTAATGAATCTTTACATGGGGGTAGGAGGCTTATGTCAATGCCTTCATAGCTTGTTATCACACTTGGAGCAGATTTTGGTTGGAATTTGTTCTCGTATAAGGTATATCTCAGCTCATTTATATTTGAACACTTTTGGCACATATTTGGCACATTTAGCAGTTTGATT